CAAGCTTTAACATCAAACTGAGAGCATAAAATAAATTTATCATTTCGGAAGCTCAGTAGATAATTTTTAGATTATTATTACTCTATATCAGAACTGGGGAATCTTTTTATCATTAGAGACAGCAGTAAGATTTGGCACAGCTACAATAATAACAATTTACAATTTGTAATATTTTCCTCTTTATTTTAACTTTAAGTTTAAGGGATTATAACTAAATGCTTATACCCATATACATATATTCAACTTAATTCTACTAATTTTCGAATTTTCGTAACCTAAGTTATTAAATATTAATTAATTCTAGCTCTAAATAAATAAATGGGCCTCAGGTCTCCCACCTATGCCTTATAATAATAAGATGAATTATCTTTAATAATTTTGAAATATCATATACAACCTTCTCCTTAAGGATTCTAGTTCAAAAGCTCTTAATGGAAGAGAAAAAATACACTAAAAGCAGGTGTGCCCACAAGGAGGTTTCATGGGGCAAGTTGCACCATCACAATTTTCGAGAGGAAGAAGGATTTAACGAGATTTTGAATTTCGACGGAGTTGTGAATTTTCGTATTGAAAAGTTCGAAATATGGAGACTAAGTGAATACATGTATCAAACCTCAGCAAGTTTAATTGTATATGATTTATGGTACTTTTATTTCTAATGTTTTAAGAAGAGGAGAGCAATAAAACATCTTGGGAAGAGGAGAGGGAGGTCCATGCGCCATCGACCTTGGGGGGATAGGCATCCCTGACTAGCAATATTTCTGAGAATATAAATATTCGCAATTAAACTCAAGTTGAGACTAACGCAGTTGAGCGCAATCCAAAATTAGACATAATTAATACCTGGGTATAATTCATAGTTTTCATCTGAGGCTGTCATCTATTAAGGAGCTACTGACCATCCGACTAGATGAAACTCCGAGACAACGTTATCTCTTCATCAGAAAGGGTTGAGCCGTCTCAGGTGTCTGCCTCTACATCAGCTCTTGACAGTCTCAATGGATGTCTACGAGCATTTGTAAATGTATTCCTCTTAATAGCATAATCAAGGCTTTTTCTTTAAACGTTGATTCCACTATCCCCCTTCAAGATATGCAGTAAATAAAAATAATCATCCAGAGTATGTTTCTTGAAAGAGGAATGGTTGTTATATAACTAATTTGTGTTAGGTATTTGTTAAAAGATGCTCCATTAATCGGGATCATCCAAAATTTCGGTTTGGTTACAGAGGAAGATAGAATGGTCATTAAATATCTGATATATTTGCAACGGGTTGGAGTGTATTCAATAGCACCAGAACCTGTTGGTAAATAAGAAAATCAGATGGTAATTGTTTGGAAATTTTATGTTTTTCTCTTTTCCTCAAGTACATTGTTGTACATTACACTGTACAACGTCGAAATATCTATGCCCCGGAGGTAAAGGACAACATGTCCAATTTTTATTAAATAATTAAGTAACTAGGAAATAAATTATAATAGATCAAAGTTATGGAACATTGGCTTTCCTGAACCAATACAAAAAATAAATATGGTGTTCTTTACCTTCGGAGTATAGATATTGAAACAACATCTTTGTACATTAGGTATAGTTATAATTTTCTATCCTAGTTCGCAAACTATTTGACAGTTATTGATGCACGTCCGGCGTCCGGCGTTGTTAGTATAGTAGTGGAAATAAGATGTATTGAAGATATCATCAATTATCCTTGATATTGGTTCAGCAGTGCGCTTGATTATGTTTAATAGTTCCTGCACCAACCACTTGTAAAGTTAAGGAATTCGGTCAAAATTTTTGTAGAGTTTGATATTTTACTCCTCCAACTCAAAAAATTGTAAAAAAAAAACAAGTCTGTACATTATATATTGTTAAAATCTTGCATAATATTTTGTAGACACCGCAGCTATGATTAGATGCATACTACATAGTTACTCGACAAATTTTGTTAGACTTTAGAGGTAAAGTTTCCCATCCAGAGGGATGATATCCTTTCATTTTGTTATGTCCGGTAATATTATTTCTCACCCTCATATAAGAGACCCCTAGCATTGTACTGTTCGTTAAGCATACATACTGACCCCCTAAATACCCTAAACTCACCCTTGAGGGATAACCCGTGAACAAACAGCTTTCCTCATGTGTGGTAGGTTAGGTGGCAATGGGACTTGTTTGTGCAACGGCTCGTGGCAAATCTGCTCAATAGGGTTATAGGGATTAGCGTGTCCCTGGATACACAATAGCCATTGCTCCATACAGCGGGGCCACACCTACCTGGCCCTGTTTACGGGAAACACATTTGTGACCTCTACGCAAAGCAGCGTTGTTCATTGTGTGTCCCTACCATGGATTAGTGGAGCGGGGTGTGAACCTATTCGTTATTTACTGCATGCTTTGCAGCAGTTCCTGTTCCTATGACAGATATTCACCTGCCTCCCCCCTCCCATCCTCCCTTCTCTGGATATAGGTGATAAAACTCTTACGTTTTTTCATTAAATCATCATTAGTACACCCATAACTGCTGATATCTAAATATGTCAATATAAGTTTCATCCGTCCATTTTATATACATTTATCTTCAAATCAGTCAACGGTGAAATTTAACTTCCACCAATCTTAGAAGCAATCATTGAACATGTGCCGTTGGATTTGGCCTTTGAGCCAACCCAATCTAGTAACAAGCCGCCTAGTCAACAACTATTATCAAACAAGAATCGCTTTACACAGTGGTTGTAAGCTTCAACATACATCAAGATTGTACCACAAGGTACGAATGAAAGAAGAGGTATGTAATTGAATTATAATATTATATATAAAAGTCTTATTGTATATTATATGTTACTTTACTGTCTGAAACCTCGAATGGAAACCGATCTTGAGCTATTCTAACGATTGTATGAATATGATATTATTATGAATTGTATGAATTGAATTACGATTGTATGAAGAATGTAAAATAAAATGATGAAAGTTGCAATACAAAGCATAAAAAACCTCAAATCTGTTTTACAGTATTTCGAGAATTGAAGTAATAGTTCAATACCAAACCTCTTAAGGTTGAAGCGCAATTTTTTAATTTGTATCGCAAAAAATCTGGAAGATCTTTCTTAGTTATTATAAACCTATATCCTTGGCCACCACTTCCCAACTGAAAAGAAGACAGTTCATGGGACGGAAATAACTAAGAACACATGGCAGCAGAACGTTTCCAGTTGACTGGAGTGTAACTAGTTAGTGACAGTATCAATTGGAGCTCTGTGTTCGCCAAGGATTGCGCGTTCCATCTTCCTGTAATACACTTAATACATTACAGAAAATTATGTATTTGTATTTTATCAACCCATTTTGATACTGTTAATTTCTCGTATCACTTATATCTTCATTACAGTGAAATATGTATTTATGAGGCTTAGATTGGAAACAGAGCCGGAAACAGAGCTTAGACATTCGGCGTCCCTGGGCAATTACGACATATTCTCCATCTCCATTAAAATTAAACTTATTTCTTAAGCTGTTTCTTATATCATGTAACATTTGAATTTTGATTCATTCGAAATTTCTCTAATACATTTAGATTATTAACAGGCTAAAATTGATTATTTTAATGTGCTTAACTTTTTTTAAATTTATAATAAGTGGCGAACGCCCATGACGATCGGCGCCTCGCGCGGCAATTACTCCAGTTGTACCTCTTTAAGGGGCACTAATAGTAAATAATATAGTCATCAGCAAGGACATGATCTTGGCCATTGTTTACTTTGTATTAATGAATTCGATACATATGCATATTACACACCAATTGAGTATCGTTGGGTTCGGCATTTCACGTGTAGTAGCAATCTTACACACAGTTTTTTTATTTTTAAATAAATAAAGCCAATATAAACATTCCACTAGGCTTCAAAAGTGGGACAGTTTGAAGGCAATGGGATGAGCCGGGATAAACAGTGTTTTGACGCGGATGTCAATATTCGGTTACGTTCCTTTGCAACATGCCATCCATTTGCAAAAGCAGAATTTTATTTTTATAAATATATACTGTTATACCGAAATATAAACATTATTTGCCTATTATTCAAAAGTATACAGTTTGATTGTTGAAACCTTTCTAAATTTCCTACAAAACTAAAATACAACGCTTCTCTACAATACTTCGGTAGTGAGGAAGCAAAATCAATTAAATCGGACCAGTATTAGTATAGATATAGTTTATTGAAATTAGATCACATGTTTCTGCATTTGTCATTCAATAATGAACTAATGTTTGTGACAAAGAAATAAATAACATTCCTCAATCTAATGATATATGCATGCATATTAGTGTTGCTCAAAATCGCCTAATGCAAGATCAAGACCGGTAAAAAAAATTTTAAAATACAAATTAAGGCAAAATAGTTACTAATACTCGACAACTTTAGTTACTATATGTTAATAATTGGTATAACCAATATACGTTTGCATTTAACTCCTCTAAGTTTTCATTCAGGCTTAGTTAGTTTTCTCCTATCTAAAAAAATACAGTAATACCTCTATAGTAATAAGCTAATAAATAACTGCAAGACTGTTGCGAGACTCTTGCGCAAGGCCAAGACCACGACAAACACTGAGTTTTTGGGCAACATCTATGCATATACCTATTTCCATTTGTTCACTAACCAACATACTGTGCAAATTATTCTACTATTTACAAAAATTTGCATTGAAAATACATTTGCTTCCCTTTTTAATATTCCCTTTACTTATCAGGATCTCGGTACTTAATCATTGCTTCGAACCGAAGAACGGGAGGGCTTTTAAGAAACCGCCACCGTTATGCTTTATTTTACGGATATGATATCGGAGTGGCTTCTAAAAAACGATTTCTTAAAACGCCTTCGTGGGCTATATATAAGTATACTGCGCCGACCGGCGTGCTACAGTTGTGTGGAAGTGTTCGTTCCGAACGGCATACAAATAACCCCTGAAAGGACCGGGAAGATTTATCGAGACATATAGAAGAGAAGCTAGATTTGGTAGGAGAGGCGCTCTGGAAGATTGGGGTAATTAGAATATGTCCAGGAGTGGAGATAAGGTGGAGTAGCTGCCGTGGGAAAGGAGGCATTTGCATTGGTTTCGAAACCTGTCTTCGGCAACTCATTCCCCGCTACCGGATCCCTGCCTCTACCAAAATATATCGGTAACACACCTGGAGAATCGGACGTATGAAGAAACTCGATTCCAAATCATGCAGCTTTATGTTAGTATTGCTGTGTCGTTGCTTAGTTATAGATCGAATTCAGCTGTGTTATAAATTAAAATATCAAAAATGATATTTTTCCAGGTTTAAACATTTGTACAGTTTAATTGTATCATTTTCAAAAAAAGGATAGAATACTGCTGCTGTGGTAGAGAGAATATTTTGTATAAAATATTTAAGCAGTAATATGATATTTTTTTCTGATTTAACCAAAACAATCAAAAACTTTAACCCCTCTCCCCTAAAAATTTAAGGTTTTACGTTTCAGGATACGTAGAATTCGAAAAAATGATTAAAAATTTGTTTGTCCTTACAACGTACGTGCATTTTCTCCGATACTACTGGACCGACTTTTTTTAAATTTGGATTTAAAGTGAGAGATAACCCAACATCGACAATACTATCCTCTTTTTCCTTTCAAGCTGGCGGCCGAAAAACCTGTGTTGCTATATACTGTAACGCTTAAACGAATGTACCGATTTCAATTAAACTTGGCCTAAAGTCTTCTAGATGCCCTTTAAATTTATTCATGTACCATACTTCAACGAAAAGAAGCTGAAAAAAATACGAGGGTTGGTAAAATTAGGTTTAACAATAACTCAAAAAGTATACACTTTTTTGTTAATATGTTAAATTGAAAGTTTTCAAAATGTCCTAAAAAACAAAAACAAAATCGTTAAAATCGGATACTTTGGGAGCAAATAAATAGTCTTTGAATATTTTTATATGTTCTATTGCAGAGGTTATATCCTTTGTTTTTGTTTTTGATTTTCGAATGTGTTACTCAAGTATTGCTAATTTTTTTAGCAAATTATTGATAGTAAATAAAAAAGTGTTTAGGCCAATAATTTTAATCACCTTTTAGTTCGTTTTCTTTGTTTCTAGGAAGGTAATGTTACTTTAGATATATAATTGTTTGGAAATAATAAACCATTGTGAAATAATTTGCAGCGTTTTTACCATTACTATTTAAAAATCGGTTTAATAAATTAACTTTGATTAAACTTTCCCTTTTAATGAATGATGTACTAATTGTTAACCGCCTGTTCTCAGGAGCCTGACCGATGGAAAACCAATCTTATACCATGTATTTGATAAAATAATTAACAATTTGTGAATTTTCTTTCAACACTCTAATTAATGGAATAAGCAGAAGAAATACTTATGAATAAATAGAAATGCTTTATGAGCTGTTCGACAACTTATTTCGTTTTGCCCAGTCTTAACATTGTATTTACGTTCCATGTGGCTAATGAAACCTCGCATTGTTTCCATTTTAGTACAGTCTGCTGAGAACGCTTAAGTCTTTCACCATTAGAAACACCCGGATTTCCTTTTAACCCTAGTTTTCTGAACATTAAATTTTTCCAAGTAAGGGTCGTTGGCCCCACGCTCAACCCCTTACCTGGAGGACCTGGTCATTTGTCTTCAAGGTTTTCCTCCCCTAAGCTAGTTGCTTTCACAGTTGAAGAGTCCACCCTACCCTTGGTTTGATTTCGGAGTTGCCTTCTCCTAAACTAAGGTTGCCTTCTCCTACTACGCAAATAGAAAATCAACATATGTTCTACTATACAGTTGTGCAATTTACATTACACTTCCATGCTGAATACGATATAAAATATAATGTATCGGAATTTCACCGAAATAATTATGACTATTTTTTTTTTTTTTTGGGTCCTCCCCTTCCTTGCCTTTAAGGCTATACGAGGTTTTCCCAGGCCAGGGGTGCGGGCGGGGATTTAAAAGACGCCTTGGCACCGGGACGCGAACTCGTGATATTTTTGCATCATTTATCATATACCAGGTTGCCGGGCAATTATGACTACTAATTATGTAATACATTATAAATTATGTACATTATTAGTATTTTTGAAAAACGTAATTTCTGTGCCATCTCCTCCTGAGAATCATTTTTAATGCAAATTACGCACTTCTATGCTTGGCTGGATATAAATAAATCCATAATTCGTGTTATATTTCTATCGTAATAAAACACTCAATATTTCAAAAGACCGCTGATGCTAATACAGTTAGAGCCGACTTATTGGTGATATTAAATTTAAAAATTTGTCAGGAACCAAAGAAATTTTGTTTTTGGGATGAAGAAAATTTTTCATAGAAATATAGAGAAGTAATTTTGTCATTTATTTACGAAAATATTACAAAACTATTTTATATATTAAAAAAGAAATTTTATAATTATTAATTCTGAAGATGAAGTAAATAATCATTAAAAATCTCTTTGAACAATTAAGTGAAATAGTTTTGTACATTCATTTCGCTTAGATATTCTAGATAAACAACGGTCCCACAAAACAATAATTTATTTATTAGTAGGCTGCTATTTGAAATGTTGAAACTCTGTGTTTTATATAGTTTTTTATTGATCCAGAAAAAGCTTCCACGTTTTTATATAGATGTTTGCAGTTTGTGCACCCATTCTTTTTTTCTGGAACCCGCAGTGGTTGTGGTTTGGGAGAAGGGAAGTTGTTTAGGTTCTAAAAGTGCGGTTTCAGTGGATCTAAAAAAAAACAGCAGTTAAGTGTCGATAGCATTGTCGCCGTTGAATGATCGGATATGAAACTATGACATCGAGAAGGGTATAGCCGGGAGCTTGAAGCCGTGAGTAGACACAAAGCATTGGTGCTGAAAGGGTTCAGTCCGGAACCGACTCGGTTTACAAAAAACAGCCCAGCGGGGAGCGCACAGCGGAGGCTCGACAACTGGCAACACCCTCTCATTACTAACGGATCTCTTACCGGGGGATCCGGGGACGCACGATTATTTCCGAAGTTTGGAGGGGTTGTCGTACCGCAGGGTTAGTATACTAACACTAACCCACCTATGAAATATAGAATAGAATAGAATAGAAAATAATTTTATTCTGGGACAAAGTCCGTTTAGAATAACCAGAAAGTACAAAATTAAAATATTATATCTGGCCTAAATAAAAACAAACATAAAAAGTAAAAATAAAGAGAAATAAGTAAAGAAAATATATACAAAATAAAAAATGAATCTATATACAAAATACTTGAAACCATGCCAAGACACTTAAAACTATGTACAGTGGTGAAACATAAATATAAACTTTTAGAAAAAATAAATAAAAACATTCTTCTTACAAATAAACTTTGTGTTTTTGTAAAAAAATAAAAGAAGTCGAATCTGATAGTAAGTATTTAAGTGATTATATGTAAATATATCATTATGTGAACAATTATGAAAAATATTTAATTTTACATAAAGGTTAGCGGGGGGTATTTAACTGTTTTTGGGACAGAAATTGGAATAGAAGGGTTTTAAATGTAGATAAGGAGGGAGAATGCCGAATTTTCATAGGAAGGGCATTTCAGGAATTAACAGAGCGCGCAATAAAGAAGTTTCAGAACAAGGCAGAACTGTGAGAAGGGATGTATCCACATGGTCGGAAGGTCGAGATCTTGTGGAAAGGGAGTGAACTGTGGACTTGAATTGGAGAAGATTGTAGGCGTAAGAAGGACGATGATTGTTGATGATTGCATAGTGGAACGTACCTAGGAAATATTGGTTTCGAATGGAGGGGAAGAGCCATTTTAACTGAGTGTAGTGGTGAGAGACATGGGAGTATCTCGGGGCACCAATTACAAATCTTACTCAGCTGTTCATTAGTTGCTAATGGAAAGATATACAGTAAAGAAAAGTATTTCGAATCAGATATCATGTGTGTGTGTGAACAGTCCAGCAATTCGTACGAAACTGAAATTATGTATTAAAAGTTTCTGCATATCTGGGATGTAATAGTATCTTGATCAAATAGTAAAACTAAAGAAGATAAAGAAATTAGTCGATTTGTTTTGTTCTGAAGTATGGCAATGATTTCCAGAAAAGCATGATACTATTTTTTAAACAATAAAATGAAAATTGGTTTTCATTCTTGGATACCTAGTCCTTAATGAATAACAAAAATGTATTGTTGTGTTGGATCGGTAAAGGAGCAGAAAATAAAACGGATTTTATTTGTGCTCCGTCTCATTGTGGCATACGGGGCAACGAAAAGGCAGACGTCGCATCCCGAATAGCCCGAAGTAATGTCAATAATGAGGTAAAATCCATTAATTATGTTCCTCGAGAGGACTGGGTGAGGCAATCCCAGATAATAGCTCAATGGAATGAGACCTGGAGAAGAAACCCTTCCAAACTTGTCCAAATAAAAGCAGACAGTGCTAAATGGTGCACTAGTATCAGGAAATCAAGAAAAGAGGAAATAATCCTGTGCCGCCTCCGAATTGGACACTTCGAATTTTCACACTACTTACTCCACGGTCGAGAGCCACATACCTGCCTCAAATGTGGTTCCCTTAGAACCGTGAGCCACATACTCGTGGATTGTGAATACTATGCAGCCACAAGAAAAAACCTCAACCTACACAGTGCTCTTCAGGAAATATTACAAGATACCGAGAAAGATGTAGAAATTCTGATGAGCTTCTTGAAAAAATCGGGATTCTACAATTTTTTTTTTTCATATCCCCTTTTTATTTATTTTTCACTTGGAACCTTTTCATTGTTTTCATAGTAGTCCTTCTACTGCTTAAAAACATTGTAAGGTGTATTTTTTGATTTTTTGTCGTTTATGAGTACTTTGTTGTTCATCTGTAATATAACAGGTGATGGGGCTCACCTCAGGCTTGAGTTGACCTTATACTCTAGAGCTTATACCTAAATTAATAAAACATATATCTCATGAGATTTGTTACCAACGTTTTGGAATTTCGGCTGGTAATAGAATATAGGAAACTGGTGTAAAGAAAGAAATGCCAATGACCCTATCGGGTAGAGGCAAATTCAGATAATAAATAAATAAATAAAAATTATTTATTGAAGAGATTATGAAATAAAAGGTAGTTAGATAAAGTTAGAGATGATGCTTCAAAACGTGACAGTCCGAATTATCAATTATTTTTTTTATATACAAAACAACACTAGAGAAGGCATATAAACATTTTTTGGTTGCGATCTTATATTGAAGAACGGAAGAACTTTTATTTTGAAAAACAATTATCAGAAGGGAAAAAATATATTAAGGTTTTTTCATTTATAAACAGATATTAATTTAAAAACCACTTCAAATATTTTCTTACCTGTTAAAAGCCCGGAAAGCGTTTGATGTCTCTCAAGTAATATAAAGTGTCGTAACGGAGCCGGAAAGAGCTGTGCACTTTGAGCAGGTACATGCTACTTTAGATAAATACCGGACGAAGTTTTGATATACGGCAACTGAGGCAAAGAACCTGCTCATGTAGCAGAACTGGATCAATGAAACCTATGAGTTATCGAGTGCCTCCTGCTCTGGAGCCTCCAGTGCGATTTCATTAATGCTTCTGGAATCTGTCTCGAAGGATCTGATTTATTCATGTAGCCACTAGTCATAAAAACTGCCGTGTTTGGGCATAAAGTATAACGATTCTCAACTCGGACGTCCATTAAATTTCCTTTTTAATATTTTTTCTTTCTTTCCTTTCCTCTTTTTTTTTTAAATCATTTTTTCATCTCGCCGGTTAATAAGATTGCGAAGTCGTAAAGTAAACCTTCTGAATTATATTATTACTCTTTCCGTCTGGATAAATTATGCTTTAACTTTCATCTGCGACATTAGAAACGATAAGTAAGATTCCTCTTATTTGAAAAAAAAAAATCTAATCGGACAGCAAAGATAATGAAAATCTTTGTCCTACAAATCGAGACTTATTTACATGCCTATAATTTTTTTTTACTAATAATTTATTAAGAAAAGAATATATTTTGCCTCAGTTAAGGGCATTGAGTATTTAGGATGTATAAAACACAAACATATCATATATACAATAAAAGAAAAACAAGATCATAACAAAAGAAAAGAAAAGAAAACTAGGACGATAAATAACAGAATAAATCAAACATGAGACAACATAACATGCTTATAATGATTTCATAATATTATAATGTAGGATTTAAATGGCATCTGAAATTAGTAGGCTCAGCATTTTGTTTTCTGATTCTTTTTGGTTTGTTCAGATTTTCTATAAGTTTTAAAACTTATTATCCATTTTATGAGATATAATTTTCTATATATTTCTTATTATATAATTGAAAAAAATATGTTCTTTATTTTATTATGATTAAATATATATTTTCAATTCTGCATTTTATTGGATCACTACTACCATTCTTTGTTTTAAAATATAGAGACTCTTTACATTTATTTTTACAAGAATATGCCTTTAATCACGTGTGGTGATTGGCTTTGATGATTTAAATTGTTTGATGAATCTGTTGGACCAGATCCTTAAAAATGGCAATTTCTTTTTCACTCAAAGTTTTTAAAAATAGATCATTTTATTTGTGAAAACGTAGGCATAACGGATAATTTATATGACTCACAAAATCCAAAATTAATTGGTTCAGATGCTTCCGAATTCACCAATATTTTTTTATTATTTTAACTAGTTGGCCTGTACGAATAATTCACATAGTGAATTAGCCTTGTGAAAATGCTACGTATCATGAAAGGGAAAAATTAGATTTTTAATTATTTGTTCAATTATGATAACCCATTGAAAATATTAAACCGAAATATTTCATTTGGTGATACCTTTTTTAATATTGGTCTGATATCGATGATTTCTTGTTGTTTTGTTGGCAGTTATGAAACTTCTTAAATGATCATGGGTTCGATCAAACATAATTTGTATAAGTTTTGTGTTATGCGTAAATAAAGTTTCGTTTTTTCATAATTCTTTCTCCTGACTTCTCTGATTGGTTTTCTCATTTTTTCCACCTGAACAAGATAATTTTCAAAATGATTTTTTAATTATTGAATTTGATGAAGAATTGATGGAGGTATGGTGCACTGACAGAAAAAAAAAGTCTATATTGATTAACAAATAAATTACTTTTGTTACTTTTTTTTATTATTTAAATGAAGAATTCTTATAATTGTCAGTTTCATCAACAAAAATGAAGTTGATTGGTCCCATGATTGGGATGTACCTTTGCCTTCAACAATGGCATACATAATTTTCTGCAGCATACCAAATTGTGGAGTGTTGATTGCGCAAGCGTAGCGCAGTTACTGTTAAGGGGTGAAAGCCAGGCAGTCACATCTATTATTTATGTGCTGCGCAGCTGTCAATCAGTGCTGAGGATAATTGAAGCCAGAAAGTCCAGTCTCTGAAATATGTCAGAGAGGTATTTTTTTTTCGTTTTTATTTCCATTTTTTAATTTTATTAGTAATTAATTGAGCCGACAATAATATTTTTTCTTCTTGGTTCAGTTTGTAACAAATAATACTATATTCTAGAACGTGACCAACATTGAAAAAAAAAATCCATCTCAGGATTTTAGCAATTCAATTATAATTTAATTGGATTAATTACATTATTATAATACTTTAATGATATTAGTCTGATTAGATATTAGACTAATTAAAAAAATATATTCACAACAAATAAAAAATCTTCAAAATCATCTTCATTGCTTGAAAGTCCACGACTTGGTAATCGTTTTCCCAGAATTAAAAGCGAAATTCTAATTTTAATTTTCACTAATTTTATTCATTTGATCAATTATTTTGATTGTTTTTTTTTTTTAATCAATTTTTGTGCTGACGATGGAACATCTAAACCTATAAGTCGCTCTGGCTGATAAAACATTATCATGTACAACTTTAGTTTATTCGCAATTAATAATAGTACAGTAAAACTTCTTCCTAGTTTATTACAAAGTAGACGCACAAATTCTTTTTTTTTTTTTTTTTACATTGGCTCGGATTATTTTCAATCAGATGTATCTTTTTTATTACGCTATTAGTTATCTTATGTAATGCTCTGAACTGTGTAAACAAAACATTTTTAATTAAAATATTATCATTTGAATCAAATCAATCCATAGGTTATACAACATTTACCTTATTACCTTAGTATTAGGAATCCGTGATGCATTTGAAAGAATAATTACAGACATAAATACATTTATACTCGGAGGAAGTGTATATTTAAAATAGATACAAATTAACATACTGCCTTCGATTTAGATGCATAGTAAGATAAGGTATCATAAAAAAAATTAAACAGTTGGCAAAACATAAATCATTGATTGGTTTATTTTCCTGGTTAGATAATTAAATAAATCATACTGCAAGCATCCATGACACTTAAAGTCTGTTTTATGACTGGTTTTTTTCTCATTAAAACGAATAAAACTATTTTTATTTTATTTCCTCAACTAGAGCAATAGCTAAAACGTTATCCAATCCATAACATTGAGTATTATTCCTACTTTATTTCCTGGGACATATAAGTTTACGAAGAATTTTACGAAACCTGTTGCCTTTCTACAATTATGCATAAAAAAATCTTGAGTTGTTTATCTCAAAGAAGGCTAATTTCATTCTAAATTTAAATTAAAACAAAAAGGAATGAGACATTCGTCTTGTAACAAGGACATTGCAAAAAAAAAATAATAATAAAAATTCAGAAAACATTTATTTAGACTACGACTCCATTCTGTCTGGAGGTGGGTAACAGGTTTTGTCCAAACGCTTCAGTTATTCGACCGACCGCCTTTAACAACACTCGAAACACCATATTAGTTGTTTTAATGTTTCTCGTTTAAATTTTAATTGTTGATTTAATTGATCAAAATAGGTTTTTTTATGTCTGTGAATGTTTTGATAAACCAATTTTTATACAATTTTCTATTTATTTTAAGACGTCCACCATATGTTACCTACACCTAGTCACATGCATTTAGGTTCCCTTTATAGGATCCAAATAAAGTTTTCCTTCTTAATTTAATATATTTTCTTATAGAGCACGATATTTAAATAAAGAATATTTTTGCTATTGAAAATACCTAAACTCCTTATTTTTATTTTATGTCTCATTTTCCTATTTTTTTAATTCTTTTTTTCATTCTCTTGTAAACTACAGAACGCTTTTCTATTTCAGAGAAGCGAAGTAGTAAATTAAGGAAAAGAAAATTTTTTTTTTTCGAAAGATCTGGAAAATGGAGTTATATTATGAAATACGATAGATGTTTGGGGATTTTTTTTTTATTTACATTTTTTTCGGTTAGAATCCTCGTTCAGACATTATTAATTTTTTAATTATTTTTTTCTTTTTATGTCGTGTCTAATGTCCTTTGAAACAGATTGTAATATTTCCCAACAAACAAGCTCAGCTTATCCTCTTCATAAATGACAAATATATTCCTATGTTTTTTTTTATTTATTTTTATTATTGACTATTTTAATTTTTTTGGAATATTCGAGAGTAATATTCGCGACAACCTAGAAATAATATTTTCAACTTAATTCCAGATTTGTATTAATAAGTTTGTTACATATATACATAGATTTTCATAAAAAAAAAAATTATTTGATAACAAATCTTATAATTATTTATTATTTAGTATATTGTTATTTATTTAGTATTTTATTGTTATTCAAAGCCACTTTGACTGAGAATGCGAATAATATGTAGGAAGTAATATTTTTCTAATTTGCATTCGATGATTCCTTAGCACAGAAAAATACTTATTTGGTTCCAATTAGAATTCTGACGTTTGTGTCCTACGAAGTGACATTCATGTTAAGTCATTGTTTTTTAAAAATAGTGATTCCAGCGACGACATCAGCGAAGGACAAAATTTCAGGCTTGTAAAACGATAAACCAACATTAGAAGGACTTTATCTGTCTCTTAACAGTTGTTTTTAGTATCTGTCCCTTGTTAAATGACATGTTTCTACCTGAATAATTGCAATTAAAGAAGCAAAAACGGGACAATAGGCGATTGCGCTATCTTTACGAGCTGATACAAAAGCCAATTTTCATTTCAAGTTGGCTTATATCATTCTATGACGTACGCTCGAATCAACATGGATATACTCTACGATGAGTAAGTGACATTAAATTTCACATTTTATGCAAGTTCACTTGTTTCATTCTTAGTTTTGTATGGAAGTTTTGTTGGAATATATATTAAATAGGTGATTAATTTTATAAGTAATAAAGTGATTTTTTTTAATTATAAATTATTTTTGTTTATACCGTTCTTAGTTTATGCCGTTCCATATCTGCTTTTAAAATATAATTTCACTTATTTTATATAATTTTTTTGCGAATTAATTAATACTTAAGACGAAAATAATATATTTTCATTGGCACAGTTTTTAAGTACGTAAGTGTTTTTTTTTTTTTTTTTTTTGATTTACTTATGTTTAAGTTATTTTATTGTATATAATTTTTTATTACTATTTAGCTATTTTGCTTCTATTTATTTTATATATTTGTTGTGCCTAAGGGGTAAATGTTATCTTACCTTCTTATAACCTATGCCCGAGTGATAGAATGCTATATTATTCAATAAAAAATAAATTAAAAAGTCACTTGACTGTCAGTGTCATATATCGATAGAAATACAGTGTGATACCATTTTTCCAGGTTATCACTATTTTTATCCAGCAATCAGTAGTAGTTCGATATAACTCAGTTGTAGATCTAGCTCAATACTCAATACAAAATTTTGAGAAATTGGTGGTCTTGGCGGCAGGTAGTTATATAGTCATTTATTCAACTTCAACGTTTCGGCACATATTTTTGTTTTTCGTCAGAACTGAAGAAAGAACGTGTTAACACCAAATCGTTCTTCTTGTTTCATCTATCAAAATATTTATAGTTATAAAAACTATCAAAGCAGTTACTACCAACCCCTCTTGATTTACCATAAGGTTAATCTTGAGGATGAAATAATATTTCAATTCCGTTATGATTTAAGGGAAGATTATTCGATTGGCAAAATATACGTATGATCATTAATATTTCTGAATTCATAGATTTATAATAAAACTTGTTATACACTAAAAAACATAGCTTTAAATAAATAAAGGCAATTTCACGCAATATTTTAAATTTAAATTAAAATTCTAGCTATTTTGAGATAAACACGGCTAATAACTTTGATTGAGCCCTCAATCGTCAGTCAGGAATTTCTAAAGCTAATTGTTTTTGAGAAAAAAGAAGACAAAAATAAAAAAAAAAGAATAAAAAGGACAAAAAAAGAAAGAGAAATAAAGTATAAAATTGGTTTAAAATTGAAGAAAACCCCCTGGTGTAGATATATAATTGGAGGAGTTGTACCGGAGGGGAATGCCGCGCAACCAGATTCCACTTTGGTAGCCAATGGCGCTTCCCTATTGGATCACGGCGATTTTTTGCGACTCTTCTCAATGGCACACCTCGGGCTTCACCAATCACCTTCTTCCTTTCTTGGTCCTTCAGATCCTCTCTCCTTTCCATTTATTTATTCTTACCCTACTCTTTAGAAGGGATTCATTCAAGTCTCCTATAACATAGAACAACTGTTGTAACATATGTCTAAATATTTGACTCGACTTTGCCCATCTTACACAAATTTATTTTGGGATTCCGTTACTAATTTACTTGATCCCGAGGTGTATTTCATATTAATCAGCAAGTAAAAACACTATACTTGTAAAAATGTAGCGAGAAATATTGATGATTCGTAGTTGTTCCAAGGCTTGTTCCGAATATTTAAGACTCTAGTCTATAGTTACCGTAGAAGCTTCACATATCAAACAAATGGATGGATTGAACATGTCGTTGGTTTAATACAAAAAGTCATTAAATGACATTTCACAACCTCAAACAATTAAGAGCTTTGTTAATTTTTTTCCGCGTGAAATAAAAAAAAAAATATGCACTCGTCAAATGTAAATAAAAGGGTGTGTACCATTTCGATACACTTACGGTATGTTTGCATAGAAGGTCGAAATTTACAAAAATCTTTTTTTAAAAAGTCAACCTGCATCAAAATTGCACTTAGTACATAAATAGTACTTATTGTACATATATAACAATTTTTTCCCTCCGTGTGTGCCTTTCAGCGTTGAGGTGTCTCCAGCAACTTCAACCATACATCCTGTCTCTTGCCAATAAAATGTTCATGTTGTTTATGAAAAATACTACTTTTTTTGCTAGAGTTTTATAATTTAGTATAATTTATTTATTATTAATAACATTATTCACCACATATTTTAATGCATTTGAGTAGTGCGGAATTTTTATCTTAAATCTTTTTTAAGATGATAGGTTATGTCTTCGATTCCTGTTGAATTGATAGCTGATTAATTTGTGACCATCTATATCATTGAATAATTGAAATGATATATTTTTTTGTAACATTAAAAAACCATTTCAACCATTCCTGTATCACTCGAAATTCATATCTTTCTCTTTCTAGGTTGTTCGGGTTGAAGCGATGCGCAAGATGCCAGGCGGCCATATCATCTTCGGAGCTTGTGATGCGCGCACGCGAGTTAGTGTTCCACGTGCACTGCTTCACTTGCGCAGCCTGCTCAGCCCTCCTCACCAAGGGGGACACCTTTGGGATGAGGGACGGGGCTGTCTTCTGCCGCCTCCATTACGCAGAGCTGCCGCCCCTCTCGCCGTACCCCCAAGAGCCGCCGTTCCCTCACGAGTATCATCACCCCCGGCTGACATCGCCTCTTCCTCCTCAGCCTCCGGTTCCTCCAGAACCAGTCAAGATACCAAACGCCTTCTTTCCCAATGGAGCACCCGCGCCACGACAGAAGGGACGTCCGAGGAAGAGGAAGCCCAAAGACCTCGAAGGAATGACAGCAAATTTAGGTAAGTGATTTTTTTCACTCAATTTTATTGACGATTTTCATATCATATCTAGTGTTGCCCAAATGCGAGACCGAGACGAGTCTTGGTCTTTCAAACTCAGTCTTGGTCATGGCCTTGTTCTTGCGCAAGACTTTCGCAACAGTCTTGGTGTTACTTATTAGCTTATTACTATAGAGATATTACTGTAATTTTTTAGATAGGAGAAACCTAAGTAAATCCGAATAAAAAATTATGAGTTAAGTGCAAAAGTATATTGGTTATACCAATTATTAACATATAGTAACTAAGATTATCAAGTATTAGTAACTATTTTGCCTTAATTTTTATTTGAAAAATCGATTTTTTTTACCAGTCCTGGTCTTGGTCTTGCAACAGTTAGGCGGCCTTGGTCTTAGTAGTGCAAAGTGCAAGACCAAGACCGATTTTGCCATTGACTAATCATATGCCATTGAAACAAATTTTTGTTTTTATTTCAATGCTTTATTTACTGTATAAATCTTTTAAAGTTATGAAGCTTCCATATTTAAAAAATATAATACAGTTTTGTTTTAACTAATGTGTTTTTAAATTATTAATAAAATTAATATAATATAAAATAGTGTAACGCAGTTAATTTGGATTTGTTTTGATAAATTGGGTTATTGTAATATTTTTTATTATTTCTTTTTTAATCAATTTTTGTTCTGAAATATAAATAAATGAATGGCTGTCATAAGAATACATTTTTGATGTTACACACCTTTCCTTTGCGCTTTTTCAATCGTTTTTATAATTAAGTTCACACTTAGAATTTAAAAACTAATTCAATTTTAATTTCTCCAAATAAATTTTGATTTTTGGTGGATATTGTTGAATGATAAAATTGGCTAATTGGACTATTTAATTAAAACAATATTTATATCCGTGTTTAAGAACATTAATTTTCGAATATTGTTCTACGACTGAATTGCCCATTTAATGTTACGATTATTTTTAACAAGTCATCTTGAATTAATGTTGTTGATTACTCATTTTATGCACGTCAGAGAAAAATAATGAAATAATACGTTAACAATTTAAATGGTTGACTGTGTTCAATTTGGTTAGGGAGTTGGTTAGAGTTGTTGTCAAGTGAGACTACACAAATAAGAATTTAAAAAAAAAAATAATAAAATTTTATTCTGTGCCGACTTCATCAGGGCTGAATGATGACATGATAGCAACCAAAAATATCTCTTGTTAAAAAATAGGATATTTTATACCTTATTACAATATTTGTTTAATAGTTTTTGGTTGGTGTGTTTTCTTTCCTGGGCTCAGATGAGTTCCTGCAACTAAGGCCGAAACGTCGACACAAATTTAAATAATATATTTTTTTCTGTTTATGTGTTCACTGACTGCATCCTTTAACCAATTTCCCAACTATAAATGGTTTTATAATGGTGGAGATGGTTAAACGTAGTTATAATTTGACTTCTCAGGTGGGTCGCGGGTGCGGTAAATACATAATAATATATCATATAATAGTATTTTTGGGGGAGATGGAATAAAGTAAACATATTATATGCTATAGTATTATATTTTGACCACACCCCCAACCAACTTCTACACAAATAACTAAATAATTTATGATTGCTTACTGTTCTGTAAGCAATTGTAAATATAGAAATTTTGTGATGATGTAAAATCCTTTATAATCTTTACATAATATTTATTTTTGTTTGTTGGCCGAGAGCACACTCAGCCTCTATTAAGTGTGCACTATTAATTAAACAAGGGGGGAAACTTGGTTACGCGTGATCTCGGCCAAATCATCATCTTTGATGTTGTTACTCTAGAAACAGTACTCGCTTACAAAATACTTAACTTAGGACCGTTCCTACTAAAACACTTGGTGTTTTTTTGCTTTTTTGTAATTTTCTTATTTTTATGTTATTTTATTTTATCTATTGTATATACTTTTTGATTGTTATTTATTTTACTTTTGTTTAATTTATATTTCTTTGTACAAATAGTGTGAATGTGATCTTATCTCACTATATTCAATGTCCAAGTAACAGATTGTTCTAATGTTAAATAAATAAATAATTAAAAATATGCTTACGTAAAGCTACCCCTGGTCCTTTTTCTTTCACAACAATGTTAACCTAGGAGCATTGTATTTTTTTTTTAATTAAAAAATATATAATTTATCCTAAACGCATACATTATTGACCGACAATCCAATTCTGGCAATTGAAGAGACACTTAGTTAGAGTTAATAGCTCTAGAAGTCGGCAGAGTGCCAGAGCGTTCGGATAGAGTACAAAGATTGATACAGATCCCTGCACAGTGTGGTAGGGTACAAGCCAGTTGTGTACCCTATGCAACAAGAGCCTTGACAACTTTGTTTTGAAATTCAGGCGACATAGAGCATTATTTACAGTCCGCCTGTCTGTGATTTATTAAAACAGATAGTTTCCTTTGGCCTCAAGTCAAATCTATTCTTTTTCTATTTTTTTTTCGTCATTTTTTTTTTTCATTGTCAACTGTCTATATATACGCCTCTTGAGCGATTCTTTTCTGCCTTGTCTAATTCAAACGTCTCACTTTACATCTCTCAACTGAGGTATGCGAAGGCGTACCATGAGGGAAGAGACGGAGGTGTGTAAAAGACATAAATGGTTCGAGTTGAAAACGCCTCAAGTGGTAATACCGTTAAACCATTTTTTTTTTTTCGTTAAATTAAAAATTTCTTATCCTTAATCAAAACATTACTGATTGAGTTTGTATCTTAAATAAAATCTTTACTTAATATCGCATATAATTTCAAAATATTTAAATGCCAAAAATATTTTATGCAAAAGCATCCTTGTTAAATAAATAAAAAGTTTTTTTTTTTGTATTAGTTTACTACAATAAATTTCACTTTTAATATCAAATTTAATATGATTAAGATAAACTATCGTGGTTATTTTTGTTGAAAACACATGTACTTTAGGGAGACAATATCGAACCACATATCATTTTTAAAAAAACACAAGTTTTTTATATGACTAATGGTAAATCTCAACATATTCCATAATAAACATCAATCAAATTAATAAGGACTTAAAGTTTATTAATCAAGCAAGTTTTTCTAAAACTGAGGTAACTGTATGTAGTCAAGAATGAGAATGACAAAAAAAAAAAAAACAATTGTAAATAATCAATGAATTTTTGAAAAATAGAACCAAATTAAATGTTATTTAACTCCTTAAAAGTCGCTTTTAGGTGGTCTTAATAAAAAAAAACTACTTGTATTGGAAGGAAATTTTGTTTAATTTACTAAAAATTATTTATTAATTACCTCAGTTAATTTTTTTTTGTCAACCATCACTTTCTATTCAACAAAAAAGAAAAAACACAAAGCTTAAATTTCTTAATTTTCCGCGGGAAATGGGACCATTCCATATATATATATACATTATCATTTGTATAATGAGATTAAGTAAACAAGCTAGTATTGCCTTATAAAATATATATGGTAATAGAGTTCTTACTACAGATAAATAAATAAGAATAAAAAAACATGATATCTATGAGAAATTATTAACAGGTATTATCGATTGGACCACGCCTTTATATGATGTTTTTTTAATTAGAAATCACTTTTTTTTTGTGATTAACTGCTTTTTAAGTGGTATACTCTCAAGATTGTTACTTCTGATTTTACTTATTTATTTACCTCAAGATCTACTTCTTGTGTAATGTATTTAATTGCATTATATAACATCTTCACAATTAAATTAGATACTTTTTTGTATGAATTTATATATAATGTATATACCAATGGAATATATGTACAATGTAATATATGCTAGTACTCAATTTTACGATATTCTCAAATCTTTCTCAATTGCTTTCAGTTTCATTTAAAGGGAGAGGGGAGATTTGGGTTGTGGTTAAAAAGGGAAAATTTCAAAAGCCAAAAATATATCTATTGATAACCAACGTTCCAACTTCACTACATTTAAATTGTTAAGGAATTGTCAAAATCGCACCTAATAATAATCATGAGTCTAAGGATTATGGAGAAAAAATAATAAAAATATAGAGTTCTATATTTCCCTAACTTTTTTTAAAAAAGCTTACTTTCTATGTATAAAAATCATGTATTAGTTTTGTTTTCTGATAGTTATGATATTCTAAATAATAAAAAAAAATATATAAATAAAATTCCTTCTTCAATTCTGAGTTTGTTTTTTTTTTCTTCTTCGGTGGTAACATTCTGGATCTCTGTTGGCAAAGGGATGTTCTTTGAACCAGAAGACCCGCCGACACAATAGCGAAATGAATATTTTTTTCCCCACTAACATCCCCTACACCTCTCACCTCCAACTACCTAACTCCTGACTTATGGCCCCCAAACCTATAATTATCTATTGATTTTCATATTTACATTTATATTAATAAATAAAATTATCTTCAGGATTAATTTTTTTTTTTTTTCCTTCCAAATTTATTATCGCCCTGCAGAACACCTGTCGCTTCTGGTTATAAATCAGTAGCACGTGTGCGGATTCAGTTACGTGATAATAACTTGTCTGTAATAACAGGCCTTTTATTGGCCCCATCTGTCATTGTTTGGAGAAAAAAATATATAAAAGAGTTATTTATATTCGGTAATTACACGGTTATTTTTCCTATAAAGATGTTACAACCGAAATTGATTAAGAGCTTATCTTTATCGATATAGCGGAAGATGCTGTGACCAAAGTCAATTAATCTTAGCAGCGGATTAATTAGCAAATGTTTAAGTCATCCATTCATCATGTTTATATTAATTTTATAAACACTGTACATATATTAACTGTACGGTTAAGACTGACATTTTACAACTGTTTATTCATTGTTCAATTTTGTGTAAAATGACAAAGTACATTAAAGAACAATTCTTACTTGAATAACTTTCTGAAGAATAGATATTATTTCTAGTATATTTTTTTGGTTTTATTCATTTTGTTAATTAAAATAAGTATCATAGACATGAAATTTTCCAGAATTAATTTTATTATGTATTGGAATTTGATTTTGTTATTATTATTGTATTTTCTCCGTTAAAATTTTCCTTTATTCTGCATTATTGTTTTCATTTAATAGTCTATAGCAAATTTAACTTACAAAAATATGTATATCTTAATAAAAATAATATTCTATGAAATAAAACTTCTCTATCAAGAAGAAACATTGACAAAAGGGCGTGTTCCGAATGCGGTTTAAAACTTTTTTTTTTATCAAAGTGGACATCTTTTCTTTGTTCTGTATTCGTTTTTTTTTTTTTTCACTTTTTCCTCTCCTTGATTGCCTTGATACTGTTATGGATAGCAAATTTGTCTTGCAGCAACATGTACATCTTAATAGAAAAATGAATAAAAGAAAAATTCTATTCAGTAAAACTCTTAGAAAAATTGCCGGTAGGAGGTGATATGAAAGCAGTTTTAAATTCTCTATCAAAGTGGGCTTACTTGGTGAATTATCCTATGGTATTGAATTTTTAATATAATTCGCCTTGAATCAATCATTGATTTAAGGTTGTTACTTATTGATGTACAAAATTAATTAACTTTACTCTTAGACGTGAAATATGTCCTCCTGTTTATCTTGACACGGCTGAAATTCCGCAAACACATCAAATATAATACCTTGGACTGACATTCGACGTAAGAATGACATAGAGTCCACATATCAACAAAAAAAAGAAAGTCGTTAAACCTCAGACTACGACTATTATACTCACTTCTTTCAAGACGCTCAAAATTAAAATTAAAACAGAAACTGAACACTTACATTTGTTAACTAAAGCCTATATGGACTTTTCTCGAATATACGGAACAGCCAAAACGACCCATTGCGAAAACTACAAACATTTCAGCCAAAGACTTTTAGGACTATAACTAAAGCTCCATGGTACGTCACAAACATTACTTTACATAAAGATCTAAACACGCCAACAGTTAACGACCAAATAAGGACATCCTACAAAAAAAAAAATCACAGTAACTTACATGAATAAAAGAAGCTGGATGAGGAATTTCCTCACCGAAGTCTACTCAAGAAGAGGTGCCGCTGGGCACTCCTTTCTCTCATGCCGATCAAGCCACTATTATTATCTCGACAGCAGACTAGCTAATTTTCAGTACTTCTAACAGGTGTGGGTAAAAAAAATGAAGTTAAAAAAATTAATTAATTAATAAATATTCGTTTAGATTTTTCAGACTTATTTTTATATTTGGTGTTATCTAGCTCTAATTATTAGTGAAAAGTGCTCATATTTCTCTATTGTTTACTAAACATATTGTTAAATGAAGATCTGGAAGGTATTGAGTTTAATTGGAAATTTTCGAATGATATAATAATTGATATATCAACTCTTACCTTAGAGCTATAAGAAACTCTCACATCCAGTGCTGAAGAAATGATAATCTCGAACTAGTTTAAAGTTTCTTTTGATGAAAGTGCTTTGATGAAAATTGAACTTTAAAATGTAAATATTTTACATCAATTTGGTATAAATTAGACTGTTCTAGAACAATACTCACCACAAAAGCCCCCAAGGATGTGATATGTACCTAACCACCATGTAACTCCAGACTACCCATTCTGTCTGAAGATTAATTTACAAAATCAAAATAACTTTTATATATCATGAGCACGTCATCAGATACTCTACTTAATATTAATTGTTTTCCATTATGAAAAGAGTTTCTTATATTATATAAATATACAAAGTAGGAATATAATACTATGTAATGAGGAATATTCACAAGTTTCGAATATAAATATTTATTAGGTTGTGCTATTCCCTACCTACTACGAAATACCTAATCACTCCAACGGTATTTAACATTCAGGCATCATTGCATATAACATAAAGGAAACAAAAACTTTTAAACTTATTTTTGTTTTGTTTTTTAGGTTTTTTATTAAAGGGTGTTTTATTCTTCATTTGTTTGTTTGCTCTTTATGATCCCCGTTCTGTCGCTTTGTTTTATAACATTGACATAGACATCATGCAGACAAGTTTTATGTATATTAAGTCGTGTGTCCACTAATTCTATAATGTCACAGTTGGCAGGTGGGTATTATTTCATTTGCCAGCTCCTTGTCAGTTGTCAGGTTTCACCTTGAAATTATATCTTGAAGAAATAATGTTTAAATAAATACTGTAGTTAAACAGTAATTTTTTAAGATATCTACAAATAATATTAATTTATCAATTTTGTGCTCTCAGAACTCTATTATAAATGTTCTTTATTGAGACAGATTGTAATATTTATCAATAAACAAAAAAAAATTTATCAATTTAATTATTATATTATAATGTCAAACAATATGTTTACACGATTTTCCACCGTTCATAGGGACTCTCTGTTT